GCATACACAAATACTACACACAGACACATGTATAATGTACTGAGTATTTACTATCTGCTAGGCACATGTGTCATTTTACTCCTCACTGGCACCACTTTGGGGTAGGGACTATTATTGTCCCTCTTTTACGGATGAGGAAACAGACTCAGGGAGATCAAGTCCACCCAAGACCAGAGAGCCGGAGAGGAGCAGAGCGAAGACTGCAACCCTGGGTATCAAACCTCAGCCCCGAAGGCCACTCACCTACCCACGGTGCAGATGTCACAAGTGGGATCCTACACACCATTTTGTTATTAATTTGCTTATATGTCTGTCTGTTAGACTGTGAGCTTCTAGAGGGCAGGACTGTGTCACATTCCTTCTCATATCCCCAGAGCCCTGGCATGGAACAGGTGTGGTCACTCCTACAGGAAGTCTGCCATGATTTTTCCTCCCCCTCCTCTTTGTCAACTGAGCTTTCAGAGTTCATCACATGTCACTCCTGTGCTGTCTTGTAGACCCGTCATAGGAATAAAAAGGAATAAATGAGGCCTGGAGAGTTGCCTGAAGTTATACAGAAGCAGAATTAGGGCTAGAACTGGCTCCTCACTTGAGGAAGGCCATTTTCCTTCTAGGCCATTCTTTACAGGTTCCAGGCCTATAGGTATTCTGAAGGACTCCTGAAAAAGTTTTAGAGTTGGAAGGGAAAAATGGTGTGGGTTCCAAATTCTGAAAAGTACAGCACTGAAGTCAATAAATGTTTGAATTACATCTTCAATTGCCCTTATGCATTATAGCCATCTCCTTACATTTGCAAATGTTTTGTTAGACTTTCCCACTGTGTAAGAATTCCTGAGGATGCATGGAGATTGCTGAGAAATCCAAAATAAAGGCCCTGGACACTTGCACCCTTAAACCTGCCCTGTCCTAGAGGTGCCCTCCATCGGAACGGTGCTGGAGAGGGTCTCGGTCTCTAGCTGGGCTTGTGTTAAATGACCCCCTCTCTCCTGCAGAGATGCTTTCAGATTCTGAGGAGGATCGGGTGTCTTCTAACACCAACAGCTATGACTACGGTGAGTCTAGTGCCCTGTGCCCAGCTGGGGTATGGATCCCAGGGCAGGGCTGGGGGTGGTGAAATGGGAAGATGGGGCCATCCAAGGCTTTGGCCCCAGGAAGGAGACTCCAAACCAGCTGCACCTGGACTGAGCCATGGGCCAGGTTTGTCTGCCTTCTGCCAGGAACTGGGTTTTTCCTCCTTCTCAAGGGTGGAGAGGACAGGTGGGACAGATGGGAGAGGGTTTTCTGTAGACTGAGCCACCACGGACACCTGCCCTCGACCCCATACACACAGGTGATGAGTACCGGCCGCTGTTCTACCGGGAGACCACGGCTCAGATCCTGGTGCTGGCCCTGAACCCCCTGGACTACAGGAAGTGGAGAAACAAGTCAGCATACTGGAGGGCCCTCAAGGTGTTCAAGGTAGGAGAAGAGAGACTGGAAAAGCACAGGGAACTGGGGCTGGGGTGAAGGAGTGTGTCAAGGTGAGTTAAAATGAGAACAAGATTGAGTTTTTCTGATCACCTGCCACTTTTGTGGTCTCAGTGTCTTCTGAGGGCTAGATCTGAGCAGGGGTGTCCAGGCTGTCTTGTGAGACACAGCTGCAGCTACCATCCATGACCCAGACCAAAGAAGTCAGGAGTCTCACCTCACAGCCCTTATAAACTCATCCTGGAGGTAGCCTGGAAACCACCAACGTATATATATTTTAGGCTTCCTCAGTCCCAGGAGACAAATAATGAATTACATATATATATTTTTTAATTGTTATTAAAAAGGTTTTTTTATCCCAGGAGACAAATAATGAATTACATATATATATTTTTTAATTGTTATTAAAAAGGTTTTTTATAGGGCCGGCCCCTGGCTCACTTGGGAGAGTGTGGTGCTGATAACACCAAGGCCACGGGTTCGGATCCCTATGTAGGGATGGCCGGTTAGCTCACTTGGGAGAGCGTGGTGCTGACAACACCAAGTCAAGGGTTAAGATCCCCTTACCAGTCATCTTTTAAAATAAAAAAAATAAAAAATAAAAAAAACGTTTTTTTTGTAATGAACTATATTTGTACCCCACAGTGGCTCTGGCTGCATCATGACCTTGGGCAAGTCACTTAACCTGTCTGAGTCTCAGTTTCCTCTACTATAAAATGGAGTGGTTGCATTAGTAAGTTATGGCTGCAATAATGCTGCATAACAAAAATCTTATAGACTTACAGTGACAATGTTTTTTCCTTGTTCATGGGCCAGTGGGTCAGCTGGGGTGACTTCAGACTGGTTGGTGGTTCAGCTCCGCCCCATGCCTTGTTCTGGGCTCAGTGGGTACCTGGGCGTGCTCTTGTCTTGGTGGAAGGGGCCAAAGCAAACTGCACAAGCACATTCAAAGCCGCTGTTCACATCACATTCACCAACAGCCCATTGGCCAAAGCGAGTGCCCAGCTCAACATCAGGGGGCCAAGAAATATATTCTGCAGACTCTAGTCACTTGACAAAGCAGGTGGGTGTTTAATTCTGTTACAGGAAGGGATTGAAGAATTGGGAACAGTGACAGTGTAATGGACTGATGTATGTGAAGGGCTGAGTACTGTACCTAGCATATAATAAGCACTCTGTAAGGGTTTAGTACTAACTTAGATATTGGCTAAAAACACAATGTGTGGAATCAGACAGAGGTGGATTTGTATCCCAGCTGCTTATACCCTTCTGTGTGGCTTTGGACATGTTCCTTAACCTCTCTGTCCCTCTGTTCCTGTGTGATTATAGTTGCTATTCACAGGGTTGTTGCCTGAATTAGTGCATGAGGTGCTGTCATTGGGGGAATAATGGCCCCCCAGAGTCATCCACGTCCTAATCCCTAGAACCTGTGAATATGTTACCTTAGATGGAAAAAGGGACTTTGCAGATGGGATGCAGGATCTCGAGATGGGGAAGGTATCCTGGATTATCCAGGTGGGCCCCATGTCATCACAAGGGTCCTTGAAGGGCAAGAGGGAGGCAGGAGGATCAGAATCAGAGAGTGAGATGTGAGCACAGAAATACAGGTTGGAATGATGTGGGGCCCAGAGCCAAGGAACATGAAAGCAAGTAAAGGAATTCTCCCTTAGAGCTTCCAGAAGGAAGAAAGCCCACTGATACCTTGATTTTAGGACTTCTGTCCCTCAGGGGTGTAAGAGAATAAAATTTGTGCCGTTTGTCGTCATTTGTTCCAGCAGCTATAGGACACACACAGGTGCTTAGCCAGGGCCTGCACACAGCCAGCACTTCGGCAACAACAGTCTTGTGCTCAAGTGGCCAAGGTCCGTCTGTGGCCGGCCGGGACTCAGGCTGCCCTGCAGACACCCTCCCACCTTTACCCACTTCACAGTTGCCCGTGGAGTTCCTGCTGCTCCTCACAGTCCCTGTCGTGGACCCAGACAAGGACGATCGGAACTGGAAACGGCCCCTCAACTGTCTGCACCTGGTTATCAGCCCCCTGGTCTTGGTCCTGACCCTGCAGTCAGGGGCCTGTGAGTATCCCCTACCCCAGGCCATCCCACCTTCCTCCTGTCCACATTCTAGAGTTTTCTTCTCAACCACACACACCAGGGGCCTGGGCTGGCAGCAGAGTCCTGGACATACAGCAGGCACTTCATATGTGTTTGTGCCATAAGGGACAACAGCCTGGAAGTTTATCCAGGGACCTCCTGTGGTCACTTGATCTAATCCTGCTGGCTCCAGATGGAGGCTACAAATAGGTGACCCTCGGGCCAAGCCAGCTGTTGGCAGGGCTGGCCGGTTAGCTCACTTCGGAGAACATGGTGCTGATAACACCAAGGTTAAGAGTTCAGTTCCCCATACTGACCAGCTGTCAACAACAACAAAAAAGTTTTTGGAGATTTCACATCAAAATCCAGGTTTTGGCTTCTCAAGAACTGGACCACATTCCTGAAGGTAAAATTGGCTGGAGTCAAGAATGGTTGCCTCTATGGGATGCTTGTGATCTAAATCATCATAGTCCCCTCCACTGCCTATTGAGTGACTGAGCTGGGCTTACTGGACTGTTTTTGTGACCTGGCAGGTCCCCACCGGCATTTGTGTTTTCATTGTCTGCCCCAGACAGTCTTTTTCTTTTTCTTTTTTTTTTTGGTAGCTGACTAGTATGGGGATCCGAACCCGTGACCTTGGTGTTACCAGCAGCATGCTCTCCCAAGTGAGCTAGCCCCCAGGCTGTCTTTTTTCTTCTCTGTCCTGCTCTGGCTGAGGAAGTGCCCAGTCGTGTCAGGTGTCTTCGAAGTCCTGCTGCTCAGATATCTTCCTGTTGTCTAACTTTAGTATCTCATGCTGCCCATTCCTCTCTTTATCATCTGGGCTCTTCCCCTTCAGCCCAGGAGCATCAGCTGGAGGTGGAGGTAGGACTCTGATGGCTGGGTGTGGCGTTATTTGCTATAACAGTGTCAGGGTGAGACTTCATCAGGATGAAGCGGCTGACAAACTCCCTGTGAGTTTCTCCCCCAGTTTATGGGAGGACACAGACACCGAGGCAGGGAATAGGAGGCAAGGTGGTTGAGGTGGCCCCAGAACTGGGGAGGGCCGCCCCAGGGCTGTCTCATTCCCCATGGAGCTGGGAAGTCCTCCCTCTTGGGCCAGGGCAAGCCCAGGGACTTGTTTGCACAGTCATGTGGCTTCTTAAGAGTGATTCCCAAGCATCAGTCATTCATAAACAGTCTTCTCAATTTTTCCCTTATTCTTTACTATTACATTTATATATATATATATATTTTTTTTTTTCCCCCTTTTTGTCTTTTTTCGTGTCCGGCAACGGATTGCAACCCTCAGTGTCACGCCCGTACCGGACCGGGACCGGCAACGGGATCGCAACCCTCGGTGTTGCGCCCGCACCTCGCTCAGCCAGTGAGCGGGAACTGGTCTGTATGTGGGATCTGAACCCTCGGCGGGAGCGCCACCGCGCTCCCAAGCAGCGCACTGTAGCAGTGCGCCACCAGGCCGGCCCCCAACATTTATATTTTTTTAAGTCAGCTCTTTTTTTTTAAGCAAATTTATTGGGGCCAGCCCATGGCTCACTTGGGAGAGTGTGGTGCTGATAACACCAAGGCCATGGGTTCGGATCCCTATATAGGGATGGCCAGTTAGCTCACTTGGGAGAGTGTGGTGCTGACAACACCAAGCCAAGGGTCAAGATCCCCTTACTGCTCATCTTTTGAAAAAAAACAAAAACAAACGAAAAATCCCCAAATTTATTGAAAAGGAAACTGTATCACCCGCATCAATAGGAAATTGACATCATTTCCAATATATTCAAGGTAACTGCAAAAATAAATACAATGACAGCAAACCACCCTATGCAGTCCTGTCAAGCTCTGAGCCAGAAGTCGTATCTTCTTTGTTAAATAGGGGGATTAGCAGGTGTCAGAGATGTTAAAGTCTCTGTTAGCACCAAGTGGAGACTTTCTCCTTGATACAGTGAGAGAATTGAAGGAATCCCTTCCCTGAGCTATGATTCTGTGGTATTTAGTGTCTTGCCCACATGCCCCGAACACCATCTAGTGGTAGCAGGTCCACCCTGGAGAAAGAATGGTTCTGGATAAAGCATTTGTGACCCCCTTCTGGGATTAGCAGTGAATAGAGAGAACCCCCAGGGCCGGCCCGTGGTTCACTCGGGAGAGTGTGGTGCTGATAACACCAAGGCCACGGGTTCAGATCCCGTATACGGATGGCCGGTTTGCTCACTGGGTGAGCTTGGTGCTGACAACACCAAGTCAAGGGTTAAGATCCCCTTACCGGTCATCTTTAAAAAAAAAAAAAAGGGGGGGGGGGCCGGCCCGGTGGCGCACTGGATAGTGCGCGGCTTGGCAAGCGCGGCGGCGCTCCCGCCGAGGGTTCGGATCCCACATACAGACCGGTTCCCGCCCCCCGGCTCGCGGGGCGG